GCATTCACTGAACCTCTGAAAGGTAAAGATCATTTCAAACATAATGCTATGAGAGGTTTTTATAAAATCACAAACTGCAGTAAATAGAGAACAGACAGCATCAGTTGCATACAGTTCTTTAAGGAACCTTCACAGGTGAGCTGCCAGAGCATCTTGGAGAACATGTTCTTCTGTGAATTTAGACCATCTCAGTGTTTTCTGTCTCTTCCTGTGATCCTGGACTGACTCCATGATGCTAAGATCAGCGCTCTGTCCGGGTGTTATACGGGTACTGAACGCACACTAGTCTCCGTAGTCTGAATTATTTATCATATATGTTTATTATTTATACCATACTATATTATATTCTAATTATTTACAATTATTATAGATTATATTATATTTTACTTCAACAATGCAACATATTTATTCTACCGTTTGGCTCATTCCTAACTGTATGTACTTCCTACTGGCTCCTTTTGTAAATATATTTATATATTTTATTGTCTATTTTATTCTATCTGTGTCAGGACTCCTTGATTTTCTTATCAGGTGATGGTTCTTTATGGTTCTGCCCGTGTGTTTGTTGTCATTCTGCACAATGAGTTTGCCGTCAGACGGATGCATCCCTTCTGGTGCAGCAGGATGAGTCAAGTTTGCACAGTTCTGTATGTGACGCCTCAAACTAACCCCACCTCCTCCACATCCAGCAGACACTCGCTGGTCAGCTGTTCCTTGGTTATTGTGCTCCAATTACTCTCTAATAAGCTTGTGACTGTGCAGGGCCTCCACACACTGGGGCACAAACAACAACAACATGCTCATTCAGGCCTCGCTCTGTGCTCTCCGTCCGCCTGCCTCGCTCTGCCTTACACATCATGAATATACCCAGCAAAAAAACCTTTCTAATATTGCTTCCTTTAACTACTTGGGTTACATTTTGGATTTGTAATAAAGAGTATTTATGCTGTTTTCTGTCACTTAAGTCCACGATAGTATAGAAATGCAACCGAATGTTGGTCTATGAATGTAAATATCTTTTTCTTTTCAATGCAGCTTTGGTCCTTCTGAAGCAAACCCTCTAAAAATATTAAAATATTACTATTATATGAAAATAAAACCTGACCCTTGACCTATCTGTGGATTTACCTGCAGCTCTGGATCCCAGAGGATGACAGTTTGCTTTTCTCTACAAAACACTAAAGACTGGACAAACTCAGTACAAAGACTGAGCGCTGTACATTATTAAACCATCTTATGTTGCCCAACGCTTGTGTTTATCTTGAGCGACATGCCAGACAATATGCCGTTTGAGCCCCGAGGCTTTTTCCTCACTGAAGGATTTCCAAATGTCCCCTGATCAATTACTAAATAGTTCTGCATGACAAACTGACACCATTCAGGAAAACGGTCTCCTACTGATGGACGAAAAGTCGTCAGCAAATGAAGACACATATACGACAAACATAAACCTGCTGTCCTGTTCTGTGCAAGTCTGTTCTCTTTTATTTTTGCAAAGCAAATGTGTTGCATGAACAGTTATTATTGTTAATGCATATTGTTAGATAGATAGATAGATAGATAGATAGATAGATAGATAGATAGATAGATAGATAGATAGATAGATAGATAGATAGATAGAACCTGNGGTGCAAGTTTTGGATTCATCAGCAGCAGGGGCGCCTCCACGCATTTTGTTCACAGGGGGCCACTGAAAATCTACAATCAAAACCCACTTCTTGTTTTTTAAGTTGTTGTGGTGTGCTTGGGTTAGTCATTAGATCATTTGCACAGACTGCTACATATACAGTTAAACATTTGATTATTTGGACCGCCACCGTGCAGCATAGCCACAGACAGAAGACACTGTTGAGTATTAATCGCATCTGTAAAACATTTCTCTGTCCATGAGTGATGACAAGTTATTTGACTGCAGCCAATTACACGCAATTTTAAAAAAAATTAAAACATTTTTGTTGTTACTCGGCTACCGGTTGCCATATTTTGGTGGTTTCTTCAATAATTAGAGAAGTCATCTTCTACATATACAATAATGTTACTGCAGCAAATATCCTAATGTGAAACAGCAACATTTCCCTTTAAAAAAAAAGTTAATGTGACAGAAACTATATTATATGGAAGAGGATTAGGGCCACTGAAGAAAAAATAAATAAAATTCTGAAATTAAAGTCAGAATTCTGACTTTTTTCAGAGATTGAAAAAAAAATCTCCTGGAATTTTTTTTTTTAAATGTCCTGGAAAAAACTCAGAATTCTGACTTTTTTCTCAGAATTTTATTATGTTTTTCTTCAGTGGCCCTAATCCTCTTCCGTTATATTAAGTTAACAAATCAGACAGTAAAACAATATCCAGCATTGACTCTGAGTGACTGCCGCCTGCTTTTTAGCCATCTGCTGTTACATTCTGACCAACCCTGTCTCCATGTTAGGGAATATTTATAATTCTAATGAATGAATGAAGGGCTGCAGGGTGCCGCAGTTGGTAGCACTGTTGCCTCGCAGCAAGGTTGCCGGTTCGCGTCCCGGTGG